AAAATGAGAGAGATTAGTGCAACCTATCATACCTCTGAAATATGGAAAACATAATATTCGACTCGGGCAAGACGACTCGTACCTTCCATCTGTTCTGGCGATACGAAAGCCTTCTGTAGTGAGGATGCCACAGTTGTGTGCAACTCAGTACCCGATTTATTGACATTGAAAGTTCGTCTCCAGAAGCTTTCGTAACTTTCACGCTAAGCTCACTCAATTGCTGTCTGATATATCTCATCTGGTTATTTTGCAATTACGTTTTATTTTCACGCATTTTTTACTAAGCTTACCCATAGGATGGAACGAACGGGTGGTGGGAATAAGCTGATTTGTATTTTTGCCTTGCAATCGAAACACGATGCTGTCCCCCCCCCTTATTAAGGATACGACACACAGTATCTTATTGTGACACCAGTGCTTCGCATCCGTCGCACAATGAGAGAACCTTGGAACGATGCAAAATCAGTGGCAGGATACTGACGGTCCGCTACATAGGTGACTACACTGCAACATTAAGGACCGAGTACGGTAGATCTAATCCTGCAACATGAAGTGTCAATGCAACCGTGCAATGCGGTAGCTCAGACAGAATGCAAGCAGTTTGGCGGCTTCTGCGCCGCAAAGTACGGTAGCACTGCATCAGTCAGTCTCAAACCAGGGTCGGTCCTAATCCGTCTTCTACTTCTGACCAAATATTTTTACGACCCCCTCCCCCCCTCCCCCAAGGTGGATTTGATACAGCGACCCCGCTTTTCGGACAGCGAGGTACTCGACCCAGCCATCATCACTACTATATGTATTCGTTCCTGGTAGCGCTAACTTCAACCCCCTTAACCCGCCCACTTTTTTCCTGCTCAAAAATGCCGGTTCGACGGGAGGGGGGGGCGGCTCCGAACTCCCAAACCCTATACGACCCCCCCCTGCTCCTACAACTCAACGCAGTACGACCGCCCGTTTGTACTAGTAACAACGTAAGGTTGACCGTTGGTCCGCACAGAATACCAGTCTTCTCCGCGCCACCAAGTGGGTTTGTGCGGTTTTTTAAAATTACTTCGGTTTCCCCAATTTACATGGCTTCTTTCCGCCTTTTCTCAACTCACTTCGCCCCACGCCTTCAGCTTAAGATCTACCGTTATGATAAGTAGTTCATGAATTTTACTTCACAAGTGCGATTTTCAATCTAAACAGATGTTCGGTCGCCTGCCATATTCTATCGAGACACCATATATCCGAAATAGCCGCCATTGTACTGTAAAGCTCGTCCAGCAGTACGAACGAGGATCTCCCTTTTTCGTTATTTGTTAGATTTTTTTTTTGCTTTTTCCAACAAGTGTCCGCACAAATCAGGGCACCTGCGTTCATATGACCAACCCAAAAATATCTATATCTACATGCTTCGGAGACCAGGACCGCGTCTAATCCGTACTGCAAGTCGACTTTGCATCGCCCACAATTCCCCTTGCGCTTATATCTTCAACACGCGCCAAAAGCATGATGAACGCTAGCACGGATTCTATGTTGTGTTTGAACGCGCAGTCTCACCGACTAGGTCGCAGTCAGTCAGCTCAAAACCTCTCCATATGCAGGCGGATAAAGTAAAAATTGCGGATAACGTGAAATCGAACCTGCAATGGGAACAACGATGCAGTGTGCAAAAACTCTCACATGTCATTCAAGGAGATTATGGCAAAGCACTGCACCAGGGTAAACCTGATGAAGTTTTCACTCACAATCATCATGGTCTGATGCAAACTTTGAGTATTTTCTAGCTCAATGCAGACTGCACTTGTTCCAGCGGGTACGCTCGGTTATTGCGACATTGATAATTGAATCCGCAAGGCTGAAGGCCCCGCTGTTGATTCTGTAAGGATCAAATTCATGGCTCGCTGAGGGCAAAGCCCCGACGATAGTCCGACAACATAATAGAAGGGAATACCAAGATGGGAATAGGTCCCTTCACCTAACAAATCAGTCCAGCTTCTATCGCGAAGCTACCTGCCGGTTAGGACGCCATGTCCTTAACGTCGGCGCTGCAGCCATCGACCCCCGTGCTCCGCTTCCCGCAATCCGCGGAGAGATGGGTGATCAAGCGCGCCTCTCCTCAAACGAGTCCTCGCGTATTTGTCGTCTTTGATCGCCCTGACTCATCCATCGTACACAATCCAACCTTTCTGAATCTTACGAACCTATTTTCGCCCGTTTTTAGTAGAAAAGAGTTTTCCTGCATTCCTGTCCACTTTCAGGTCTTTCCGCAGGTAAGCATCACTCTAAAGCCCTCTTGACACCAGCTTCATCCCAGGATTTGCCTTTAGGGACACTCCTAACCACTCGGTTATCCCTGCCTGGTGATGCGCTATAGTAAATTAACCACTGAAAATTGAGTTAAAGTGAAACGGCGGACGGTAGTGCAACCGGTACCATAATCGCCTAGTAAGTAATAGATGCGAGTTCATCCGCCTGGAGCAAGATGTTCTGCTCAAAACTAAGCACATAATTTTGTGATGCCCTTTCGCATGGCGAACTGTGGCCAAAAATAGCAGTTCAAATTCAAAGCACGTCATCATTCAAGTAAAAAGCAATTTCAGGCAAGCAGTCCTCTATGCAGCTTATACGTTAGCAACACTGTTTGCTCCTTGGATTTGCTATCGTGTTGGTTCGAAATGGTCACTGTTTGCTGGAAGTCTACTGTTCACCATGTATCAAGCTGGATTCTTCATGCTCAATTCCTATTATTACTACCTGTCTCAGGCACTTATGGGAATTGGTTTCGCATGTGAGGTTTTTTCAAACTCGAAATGTGCTCCCCAGCATAACGTGACCTGAAAGACTTCCCTTGTAAGTGCATGACACCTACAAGGGGAAGTCTATCAGGTCGCCATGACTATTCAAGACTAGATGTTCAATCTCATATGTGCCTTTTTATGCTGATTTCGAGTACGCCTTCTGAATCTGGTAATCGATTCATTTCGAGTGAACAGATTTATGCAGAACAGTTAGCAGCAAAGCGTTGCGATGAAGTCTTGAGCATGTGCTCAAAAGATCGATCGCTCAGCGGTCTATTCCTCTGCTATTTTAGAACAATCCTTCCGAGCATCGTTTGCTCAAAGGAGGATTCCACGTCAAGGAAGAAGGTCGAAGAAGGGTAAACTTACCTAATGGAGAGACAGGCAGACCTCTTAAGGGTGCGAACTGACCCGCAGGTAGCATCGAAAGATATGACCTGGTGATCTCGCATGGCTTTCATCGTGGCGCCATTGACTCGCTATTGGTGCGGTACACCCCTTTCGTGTCTGAGTCTCTAGCAGTTCAGTAGGGAGGTGTAGCGTTGAAGAGGGCAACACCGATGAGAGTCGCATCAGTGCGCAAATAAACGGGCAAGGAAGGAGTCCCATTTCTCCTGTTCTAGGCTATCTTTCTCAATTTTACTTTCGCGCACCACTGACCATATCTAGGTTCCAAAAAGCTTCCCATTCATCGTAAATTCCGCGAAACTACCCGTAAAATGAAATTCCCATGAATTCTGGGCACCATTTGCGTATGACTATGCGCAGCCATGGGCAAATGGGTCCAGATTCAGTCGCGAAGTCATTGTATATATAGTAAGCACAAAACGGTAAAAAATCTTCTCAAAACTGTTCACGATGAAAGGAAATAAGTGAGCCCTCGGAGAGTCCGGTCGCACGATCTCATTATGAGAGTCTGGATCACTACTGCTGCGCTTTTCCGCTTCATAATTCCGAAAGGAAAAACGCTTATCCAATTTGAGATCACCATTTTGAGGCGCTTATGGGGTAGACATTTCATCTTGCATATCAGGACGACTTGAGGGCCTTCCCTTGTTTGGAAGTGTGCTACAAATGCCATCTATTTTTGGATCTATTTGAAAGCAGTCCACATCACAGAATCTCCATAGCTGAAAAATTTACTGGGTTGGCTTTGTTTTTAGCTTTTTTAGTTTTTTTTTGAAAGGGGTTGTCATTTAGATGGGTTTTAAAGATGAATTTGCCGCATCATGACATTATAGAAACAGCCATGATGGCGAGGGTGGTGGTCGGGGTAGGGATGGGAGGGGTTGTATTGGAGGGAGCCTCATAGTGGTGGTGGGGATCGCATCGAGATCCCTTAAAGGGGCTGGGGTAGCAAAATTTTCGAAAAAAAATGCGAACGTGACATTGGCGCAGCAACCGGCCTGAGTCCAACCGTCCGTTCGAATTGTTCGAACGAAGGGGTCGCGTTTTGGTCGAAGGGGGTCGTTCCATTTCGAGGACTGCAGCCACAGGCGGCGTGGCAGTGGCGTATCCGAGGACGAAAAATTGCTTGTGCAACCGCATTAGATTTGATTTATTTACGCACGAGGCAGGCGTTCTAGGCAAATTACGGTGTCTTTCTTAACGGAATAAAGAACAGTTGAATGATCCGCTATGAAAGTTTTGAACTTCTCGGGGCTGAAATGAAAATTCTCGGGACCTAAATTTTTTTTTTTCTTAGGACGATTCTTCCAGTCAACGGTAAGACACATAAAAATCAGAAATGTCGTAAGTTTTCAAAAATGTTTCGCCCCTCCCCATCAAGTTCATTGAAGGAAGTTATATGCTGACAAGCTCAAAAACTCGGGCGAATGTGCTGTGTGCTCAAAACCTGTGGGAATCAAAAAGTTCGAACGTGTGATTTCTAGGAAAATCGCTTTGAAAAAACGTTTTGGTGCTTTTCCATGAAGAGCAAATCCTGCTCTTCCACTTCATGAAAAAGTGCATGCTCAGAATCAAAAAATGAAAGTGAGTTAATGCCCGCTTTTAAAGCCTCAAAAACTCTGCGATTTCAAAAAAAGTGTTCGGCAAAACCCCCAGAAATGTTCGAACGTTTGATTCTTCTGATGAGTGAACTTTGAAAATGGTTTTGACTTGTTAGAAAGAGCACATCCTGTCTTTTCACACGACCCATGAAAAAAAGGTGCATCACAGAATTAAAATGAAGGAGTTATGTCGCTGAAAGCCCAAACTCGCTTGCAGCGAAAAGAACGGGTTGTTGAACGGGACAATTTTTTGCAAAAGGGGACCAATCATACTGAAACTTTTATCCTATTTATGTCAAGAGAAATATTTGAAGTTTCTGAACTTTTCACGCTTTTTCAAATCGGCATACGAACGATCTATGGGCTTCAAAGTTGAAGGTGCCCCTTCTTAGAATTCTTGGTGTTTTCCACTTCTAACAGTAAGTCGCTCTCCCCGGAGAGTTAGGCAATCCTTGTAGTTTTCTGGAAAGCGCACCTCATGCTTCAAAATCTAACCTCAAAAAGTTAATGAAGTACCTCCAAGACAGTGATTTCCCTCTAAATCTTTTCTTCGCCGCGTCCCGTTCTTCCAGCGCCCCGTGTGATGACTTCCGCGCTCCAAGGCCGACGCGAACGGACGCGCAGACGCTTGTCTGGGCGCAACGGATTCATGTCTAAGCCACTAGCCCGATTTACAGTCCGCGGTGAGTGAGCACTACGTAATCACGTTGGTACTGGAGCGCGCAGCTTACACTACTGATGTGTACCACACGTTTCAGCACCAACGTGAGAGGTTATAGCGCCTCGCTGGTGAGGCGCAATACCCCTCCCCCCAGCGCACTGGGCGACTAGATCGGAGGTATACGCGAGATGCTCGCCTCTTGATAAAAACTTCCCGCGCGCGCCGTCCGTTTGAACAAAAGTCCATGGGGCGAGCTGTTTCCTGCCCAGCTGTGCTGGTGTTGCGTCACTACGGCCAATCCTGAAGGAATGGCGACTTGTAGAGGTAGAGGTTCCCAATGCAGATTAAGCTTGCCCAAAGTAGATATCCTTGAAGTCAGTGTTCTGTATTCTTCGGTTAGTAATGTCTTTTTGTAACTTTGCAGAGTGAAGAGGACGGGAGGAGGGTGGCAGTCTGTAGAAGGGCTTCCGAGACTGAGGCTACGCGGAGGGAGACAATTTTGAAGAAACAGTTGCTCCGCTTTTCGGGGCCACTCTTCCTCCCTCTGAGGCTCGGTCTTAAGACTGAGCGCTTTCCATAACCCTAAACGGAGTGCGTCGCGTGCTGGCCGTTCCACACAAGGCCCCACTAAGGATGGGTTGAGTGCATCTTCCTTATGTTCTAGGCGACTGGTGGTATTGCTTCCTTCAAGGGTGACTGTACTTCTACTGCAGGTCACTGTCTACAAAAGCGATTTGCGCACTCACGTAGTGCGTCCTCTATTTCTTAGCACATACTGAAACGAGCATAATATAGCAGATCTTCGTGCCGGTGAAAATTAAGGCAACTTTCTGATTTGTTCACTTGTAGACACGAACTAGTAGCCACCAATGCAATGCTTTGGTAATCAATTGCATCTCACTTATTTCCCTAATCATTTTTTCCAGAAAATTATGTTGTAAGTTCTATACAACTGCTGCTATGAACTTCCTCGCTGTTCGTGTAATATATGTATCATTACTTTGCAGAGGTCACTGACTGCGAACAGCCTTTGAAAACAGCCGCTGTCGATTTATTTGAAAAGGTGATGGGCTTTACTCACAGAGAGCACTTACTGAATGGAAGCACAAAATCCGAACAGTCGCAAGCGAAAAAAATCCTTGATAAATTGCTCTGTTGCCTCCAGTGTGGATTTAAACGAGGATTACGGTCAACAATACTGACATTTTAGTAATTTTCTTGAAAAACTTTTGTAGATACTAATTCAAGTGCTACAGAGAGTTAGGAAAAACGCATCGATTCATTGGTGGATAAACGTGTCTTTTTTGTGGTGGTGTCTAAATCCCATAGTGTCCAAATATGACCGCTTATACTCCTCCGAAGACGCTTCCTACCGCAGTACTCTCTGCAACCGCCCGCATCCGCACTATTCATAATGTCCGTGCTCTTCTGTGAGAATATCTGTACCTTAGCCTGCGGTGGTACAGTACGGAGATCCCCAAAAAAGAACCCCTCCAAAATCTACCGAAAAGGCACGGAATGGTGTGTCTCCAATCAGTCTAGCTAGTTGTACCTCGCTCCCGTGGGCACGTATATTTGAACGTGGCGCGCGCGAGTGATTGAGCCGCTTGCGCGCGAGGGAAGCGGATGCGCGCGCTTCGCGCGCAGGCAAGGGAGGTTAACCCGGGTGCCGGTAAACCATTTGCCGGCACAATCGGACCATCCCCGCCCTAGTCCTCCTATATACCTGCATGGACGCTCCGTACAAGAGCCAGGTTCTATCAGGCCCATTCTGCTCGCCGTCGACGTGCGCGGAAACGACAAAAGGCAGCGTCGAAATTCTAATCGATGACCACGTGACGTTGCGCGTCCAACGACAGTCACTGTTACGCGTTGCGTCACTCAGCCGGACTTTGAATCAACTAATGTCTAGCACTCTATTACCCAAACGGGGGGTCCGCAAGCTGGACGCCCCTTGAGAGCTAGGGGGTCGCCAAAATCCCGAACATGTTGATAGCGTGACCGTTGACCTTGCTCCAAGGTCCCCAGTCCACTTACCACACGGCGGTTCACACTATGGAGTTAAGTGTACCCTACTCAGAGTGTGAGCCAGCTGATTTTTAGCAGGAGTCCCATCAGAGACGAACGCTCTGCCGACTCCCTCTACATGTACAGAAAACCCTTATCTATACTTATGGTTGGATAGAAGAAGAGTCTTCTCATTTGTGACGTTTCAGGTGGTTGAGGATTATGGGAGAAAAATTATCCTAATAGACTTCTCAGCCCGATTTTGTGTTTGCCAAAAAAGTCAGGTCACCCATCAAAAGAGGAGCAAAAACTTGGATTTTACAAGTGTACTACTATCCGGCAGAGGTGTCTAGCATGTCCGAG